GTTTATGATATTGGACAGCTGTAGGATGGCAACACGCAGTTCCAACTATTATTTTATTCCGATTCTTCCTGACCTCCTTTGTTCTTAACTCAGTAGCTAAATGAGACCTGAAGGAATTGTCTTGCAAGCGAGACACCTGGGTTCAATTCCAGGCAGAGGGCGAAACCTTGGGCAAGTTTCCTTACTCCACACGCCTAATAATAATAATCCCTCCAAAAAAAACAAAACAATAATAAATTAGTCATTTTCAATCCATGACTGTTTGTGGGACACTGCTGTGAGCAATTGGCTGCCACATTTCGCCCACAAATATACGGTCAATTCATTTTACAGTATATTCTGTGAAGCGCTTTGAGACGTCTGGAAGATGTGAAAACCGCTATAGCAAATGCAAGGATTATTATTATTATTATTATTATTATTGTCTGCAATATCTCACCCGTGAGAGTTAATCTCTCATGTTTCTTTGTGTTTGTGACTCTGTAACACAATCTTTTGTTTCCTTACCACCGTGGAATACAATGAAATGCCAGATTAAAAGCGATAAATTTTATGTTTAGATTCGGATTGAATTTCAAGGAAGAGTCCAAAATAATATTTGAAAAACAAATGCCGTATAATTATGTCGGTTTTTATTCTGGTGCAATTAAAGGCATGGGCAAAGAATTTGAAGCTGTTATGAGTTTTTGAATTAACGTGGAATCATCTATTGTGGCATTATTTGTATAGGCATCAAATACCAAAAATGAATGACCTTATTGGCTAACCACGCATTAAGAGCTCAGTGTAAATTGGCAGTAGTTCAGTTTGCTCATTTGTTTGAGGTGCAAATATATCTACGATCAAAACGTCTTTGTGACTGAGAATTTGAAAGCCCTGGAACATTCCCTTTGGTTCACTGGTTCAACGCAAGTTACAATAATATGCAACTTTGAATTCCATAGCATGTAGTGCTGAAACGCTGTGACGATAAGACTATCAAACAAATAAGTCATGGTGAAATCCAGAACATCGACAATAAAGAGAAACATTAACACAAAAGAACAAGGATCTAAGAAGTCAGGTGCGCACCACTGAATAATGTGACGTTCTAATATGCATTGGAATATTTTCCCAGTTATTTCAGATGGCAGTATTTTAAAGAGAGACTTATTTAGTAAGAGAATGCTTTTCAGAATTGCCGTTTGTTTTGTTTGTCAAGCCACGTTGCTATCATTCACTCCAGGAAGCTTACCTGAGTAAAGGGAACTAAATGTTTGAAGGGCGCCAATGTAAATTCAAGTTGTTGTTGTTTAAGGCCAATATTTCGACATTTAAACAATCAAAACCTTCTTTAATTTGGAAGCCAGTTTTTCACGGTTCTTAAACTGGCAGGTTTGACCTCAGTTTAACAGCAATTGGGGACTAGGCTTAACATTTCATCCGAAGGACAGCATCTCCGACAATGCAACACACCCCCAGCATTGCATTGGAGTGTCAGCCTAATTTATGTGAGTTCAAAGTGCTGTCGTTGGGCTTGAACCCACAACCTTCTGACTCAGGGCTACCAACTGAGCCAGGCTGATGTATAAAAGATCAGGCTGACACGTAAAAGTACAGTAGATAGTTTGAAGATTCTTTCCAACTCTACGAAGACTAGAAGACATTTGCAGCCAAATAAAAAAAGATTAAGCAAGTTTTATTTTATTCCAAGAACATGAAAAAAATAAAACTGTTCAGCCGTCTGTGCATTTTCCCAACACTAATTTATAACATCTGTTGTAAATAAGCATAATATTCTTGATCTAAACATGTTCTAATGAAGGTTCATTGCTCAGATGTAGCAGCTAATACTCATGCTATTAAGAATAGTTGAAATGAAATTCAAACGTTAACCCAAGTGCAGTTTTACTTAAAGGAGTAGTTGCTTATGGGGGAGGAAATGCTTTCAAAAAAATGCTTTGAAAAAAAGTTTTAAATAAGTTGGTTACTCAATCCATGACTGTCTGTAGGACACTGCCGTGCGCAACTGGCTGCCTTGTTTCGCCCACAAAATATACAGTCAATTCACTTACAGTATATTCTGTGAAGCGCTTTGAAACTCTCAAAGACGTGATAAGGCACTATATCAAATGTAAGGATTATCATTAGTATTTATGCGGGCCCAAACGTCAGTTTCATTAATAAACTGTTGTCTGCGAGGATTGATCACCCACTGAACGCCTCAGGCCATCATTCAGCAAAGGATCTAGGAATGAAAGCTAATGACAATTTGCCTCATCAAATGGGGGGTGTTACTTTGACAGCAGAAAAGAGCGTTTCACAAAATTGTATTATAACAATCATTCAATTACTGCAATCCCCAATGTTGCAACTATGGTGATTCCTTCCACTAATGATCCCATTTGATAATTCACCTTTTTTTTGTTTGGCTTTATTGGTGACTGGCCTACTTAGGTCGTCTTTGTAATGCAAATAAAGTAATGATTTGTAAACAACAGCTATTATCCCCTGTAAGTGGATGAATAATTCACTGAAAATGCACACTGCATCTGAAGAAACGTTACAAAAAAAATATTTGGCTGCTACACAATGCTTTGCACCATAGACTATTCCATATACTGCATTGATTAAGGTTGAAACCCCTTTTGAGTATGACGATTAGTGAAGTACAACATCTACCATGTGCCTGGGAGAGATAACTGAATACATCAACCTGATATTGAACATGACAGTTCTATTTTAGGCTGCTTTTCGCACAGTATTTTCAAAGGATCTCATATATCTTTGATTAGTTTTTTTTTAAATGTTGAAAGTGCACTAAAAATATCACTGTTTGAGAATGGATGGTGGGAATATATCAGAATAGCAAATATTCCCCTGAGCTGCCATTGAGCTATTATCTACACCTTCCAATCTCTCTCTCTCTCTCTCTCTTCTCACTCCTCTCTCTTGCTCTGTATACGTTATATATTGCATTCTTGATTTCATTGACATCGCTACGGTTATTCCTTCAATAAACTTTCCACTCATACGCCCCATTCTGTACAGCCTTCCTTTTCCCTGAAACCTAAGATTCTCTTGCAAAAGCAAATTAGATAGATTTATTTCAGGAAATAATATTGTGGGATACAGTATGTAGTTTGGGCCATGACTTGTGCCTGTGTGATTTCACGTCCTTCCGACGTGAAAGGCGCTATGCAAATGTAATCTTGTTGTTGTTGTTAGAGCTCTTCACATTGACAGGGTTGGACAGTGAGGGAGGGAGAAGAGAATTGGGTAGGGGCATGGGGAGAGAAGGAGGAGTTGACTATAGAGTCAAAGAGGTAGGTCTTTAAGTGGCCAGTATCATCAAAAAATGATCTCAGAGTGAAATACTGTGCTTTTCATCTGCAAAGCAACTGATCAAGTATTGCATTCAGTAAAATCAGTTACCTTGCTCTTGCCGCAACATTGTGTGAAGAGACCTACTTGAATTCACCTGGAGAGCCTAGCAGTTCGCCCAGCACAGGTTTTATTGAATAAGAAACAATTTCTCCATTGCAGAGCTATTCCTCTCTGTTAAACAGGAGACATCAAAATGATTATTCAATTAACATGAATTTGTACAAGAGTGGATTAGAACACAGGTCCTTATTGAATATAAATTCCTGCGTTGCAAGCATTACAGAGTCGATGCACTGTAACTGGACTTATGCCAAGAACGGTGAAGGGAGATGTGCACATAGGATGGAAGATAAATGCTACGTTATCAATGTATGCGGTGAACCCTGCCAAAACAGGCATTATTCAGACAGCACTAGTGCTATTAATTCATTGCTCATTTATCCAGCTATTTATCGTTTGCGAGCTAAGATCAGCAAACTGTTTAAAAGAAAAGAATACAGCTGCTATCAGTAACCCAATGCATGCGGTGCAGATTTGTTAGCCACAAACCACTGATCTCAGTGTTTCTTTCCTTCAGTTGCTGTATTCTGCCAGTTCTCCTGTAGTTGGTTCAGTATTTGCCTAATGCTTTTAGCTCCCTCCAACTTTTTTTCAGAGGCCACGAGGCAATCTGTTCCAGCCAAGACTGGGGCAAGCGTACAAGCGTAAGAGAGGGGAGATGACGGTGGATGTGTGAATGGGAGGTAGAGATTTCAGTCTGAATACATTGTAAGAAGATATATCAAAGGATTCTGTAGTATGATCTGACTGGGAACAGCTGTTCTGTTCCAGTGGAATTAGCAGATTAAAAGACTTTAAGCAGAGACCAGCCTGGTATATTTTTCATCTTGGCTTTATTATTCACAAATGACAAATCATCCAAATGACGGAAACTGTCCTGTGTAACCTTTTGCTTGTTGAATTTATTGGACACCAAGGATCATTTTAACATAATTTTATAACCCGATATTATACAAAATCTGCTTTTAAAGACAAAGTAATAGTGATAGTTTTTGAACACCTAAAGGGACACACATGTTACTGGCAAACAGAAGAACACACTTACAATGGCGTTGGTTTAGTAAGGATATTTGATAAAAAGCAATGTTTTGTTCACCTTAGGAGAGACTTTTACAGTAAAATGTCCTGGTACAATTTGCTGCTTACATTTTATAAATATGTATTTTCTGAACATAGATGATTATTTATGAAGGGAAAGTCGTTGAAACATGACTCTGCTTCTACCAATCCCCTGGGTTCAATATTTAGCAGTAATCATGAAATGACAAGAATTTACATATTGTGTAAAAAGACCAGACTTGAGGGTGTAGCTTATAAAAGCACCCGGGGGCATGATACTACATTAAGTAGCAAAACATCCAAATGAAATAATATAATAATCCATTTATACCACATTTGCCTGCATATTTATCACGCATTCCTTTAATATCCAAACACTGAGCTGAAACAAAATACAAATAATACTAATAATAATCCTTGCATTTGATGTAGAACTTTATCATGTCTTCGAGATATCTCAAAGCGCTTCACAGAATATGCTTTGTTTTAACGTGCGACTATTTGTCTATTTGCAGAGACAAGTTTCCTAGTTGGAAATGCTCAGATTGTGGACTGGCCAGTAGTTTACAGTAATGACGGATTTTGCAAACTGTCTGGATATCATCGGGCTGAAGTGATGCAGAAAAGCAGCACCTGCAGGTAAACAGAATATTATTTTTTACGCATTGAATTGCGACTGAAGATTCAGTTATACAAAAAAACTTTTATCAGCAATTAATAAAGTGTCAATTTCTTAGATCGGGTTTGGGATAGTGCCTTCTTGGTCACATTCAGTCTAGGTAAACTTTTAATAATAAATAAAAACAGAAGTCGCTGGGAACACTCAGCAGGTCAGGCAGCATCTATGGGGAGAGGAAAGTGAGTTTAAGGACGATGACCTTTTGTCAGCACATTCGTCATTCATTGATAGTAAAATAAGATTGTGGGATAAATAAACAGGAAAAGAGATTATATCAACAATAGTAAACGTTTTTGATTGAATGTTGTACAGTATTTTCATGTCTGTGTTGACACACATATCACACATATGATACACACTGGATACGTGCGCATTGGTGAGGTTCGATTGTACATTTCACACTATTTCCTGGATCACTGAATGCTGAGATGAGGAAAACGTGCATTTTCCCATCACATGTAAAAATAGGTGAAGTGCCAAGGAGATGATCGTATCACAAGTGCTGCAATACAGGAGCAGTTAACAGCTGAAGATTCGAGATATTATTGCAGACAGAATAGCTCAGAAAAATGACAGCAGGAAAATAACCATATTTAGCAATCAGATTTCATCCTATGTATTGACATGTCCAGGTAAATTTCAATCTCCCTGGGCAAGACATTTTTTATATTGAAAAAAGATTGCAGCACACATACTATGAGTTCCTATCATTATGTGTTGCCATGGAGAGACTTTGAGCAGAAGCCACATGCATATTTTTCTTGGCTTTACCTGGAATTGTACCCGAATAAAAATAAGGACCCTTATTCCCGTTCGAATTTCACAAGGAAGACTGTTTTATGCGTTTTTGGAACATTTGGTAACAGTTGATTTCTTGAACCAAATTTCATCCAATCATTATTTTTAAATAAACGACTGACAGTCCACACATCTAAAATCACTGTTGCTATGATTTCACCTCCTGATTGGTATATGTACCTCTTTTTTTCTCCAAGAATAGCAAATTCCAGCAATATTGTTTAGACAGAAGAAAATGCAAAAATGTGCCCTATCACCTTTCGCAGCTCAATAAAATTATGAATTTAAATAGGAGGAGAAAATTATACTTTTCTTATTCAAACACTTCCCTGGAAGAAAAAATAGAATATATTACGTGCCTTGAGAGACCCTTGCAGCATAAATTGCACTGAACGGATTTGTCCAAAGGTTCTCTCAACAATTTGTTTAGCTGTTTAAACACAGCATTAAGATTCAGTGCTGCAGCAAAACAATTGAAACACATGGAATATCTCACCATTCAGAATGCCTCTGGGAGTTCCTAACAGTTATTGAAAAAACTTATGGAAGAAACAATGGCATGTGGCTCCAGGCGAAACATAAAATTTCTTTGAAATATTCTTTCCTAGCATGGCTCAGTGACCCCGTAGTTAAACAATAACATCAGGTTAATGAACCTCCCAGTCCCATTGGGAATGTAAATGAGTTGACAGTTCTATTCTTGTAGATCCCAACTTTATTGTTCATGAAGCTGCTTGGCTCCTTTCCTGAACAAAAGTAGAAATTGCCTTTATTGCCACACTTTGACCGGTGAACATCAGCTTTAAATAGCAGTTGTGCGGAGAATATTAGAAAGAAACAAATTGAGTTTTCAGAGCACCTTATCACTTTGAAGCATCTGAAAGTGTTTTACAGGTAACATTCTCGCCTGACTCCACTGGCTCTCTATCCTTCAGAGGATCCAATTCAAGATCCTGGTCCTCACCTACAAAGCCCTCCATGGCCTCACCCCACCCTACAACCTACTGCAACCATACTAACCCCCTACCAACCCGCCCGTTCCCTCCGCTCAGCCGGCTCCGGTCTGCTCCACGTCCCCCGACATACCCGCCACACCATTGGCGGGAGAGCCTTCAGCCACTCTGCCCCCAATCTCTGGAACTCCATCCCCCAATCACTCCGCCTCACCCACTCCTTAGCCTCCTTCAAGTCCCGCCTCAAGACCCTCCTCTACGACCTTGCCACCGGCCACCCCCCTTCCCCTCCCCTCCTTTCTCCCCCCCGACCCCAGCTCGGGTCTGAATGCTGTACACTGTCCAGTGCCTTGGGACATTCTCCCGATGTGAAAGGTGCTATACAAATGTAATCTTATTGTTGTTATTGTCAAGTGTAGTTCACTGGTTTTGTTGCAAATGCGACCAGGGAACATTGGTCCGCAGTAAGATCCCACAATCATGTGGTAAATGATCAGATAATCTGGAGTATTGCTGGCAAGGACACTGGGGGAAACTCACTTTCTTTCTCTGAGTAGTGTTATAGGATCTTCAATGTGCATCTGAACAAGCAGAAAGGACCTAAGTTTAACATCTCATATGAAAGGTAGTACAACAACATTTTTTCCTTTTATATAGCTCCTTACATGTCGGAAAGACGTCTCAAGGTGCTAATACCTTGCAATGCCGCACTTCTCTATTACTTAACGTGATTGTCAGGCTTATTTGCATAGGCACCATAATAGTAATAATACTCCTTACATTTGGTATAGCCCCTTTCATAGCATGTCCCAAAGAAATTCACAGGATATATATGCCATGAGCCTACATTTGCCTATATTATGTTTTGGTGCATTCACTACTTGGCATGCATAGGTGGTTGAAATGATTGTGAAGAGATTACTAATGTACAGTTTGTCACAGTTTATCCTCTGTAAGTCGATATCTGGATTTCAATCTCACGGCTCAGTTATTACCGTAAAGCAAAACATGTTCACTGGTGCAAAAATATTCATTTCTCCTTGCTGTATAACTAAGATGCTGTACATGATAAACACCAATGGCTGTATGGTAATAGTCACTAATTTACTGTTGTTGCCTTCATTTGAATACAGTACTTGAAAATCATTATACCTGGGAATGATGTAGTATTGTGTAGTATTGTTTTTGCTGGATGACTTGGTTTATATGAATCATTTAGTTCTCTTCTATTTCATGGTCCACTTGCTGGACTTATATAATCCTGGTAACATTTTAATTTGTCAGTTTTTTTTGTTAATACAGTAAAAATCACCAACTTTAGTTAAATTTAGTTAATAGAGAACAAATGGAAATGCAGGCTTCATTTCCCTAATGGTCTGTGTAATACTATGGCAGGTCCATTTTCAGCTTGATGACTGTCAGCTACTCTTTATTTTGTAAATATATCACTAATGTGGAGTTGAAAGGAAATGAGACGTGCAATATCGCATCCATCAATTCGGTCCCTCATGGAATCGGGATACGAGTCATTAGACTTTCAGATGATCCACTAATAGCTTATTACAGCAAGACTTAGATGTGTCCCTTTCCACATTTTATTCATACCTTATTATTATATCTTTGTGACATTGTTTGTTTTTCTATTGAGGGAGTGTGAATCCCATTTTCCCTTTGAGTGCAGTATGATCCCTTCCCCCCCTCCTCTCTCTCCCCCTGGCTTGGGGTCAGACTCCGCCACTGCCAAGGGCTCCAGGACTCTACCCCGTGTGAAAGGCGCTATGTAAATACAAATTGTTGTTGTTGTTGTTAGTTCCACAAGGATTGAGGTACAGTTCCACAGGTACGTCTGATACCTTCCCCAACCCGGGCTGTTTCTCATGCCCACTAATTGTGGATTCTAACAGTCGGTGAAGGCCTGGGAGTGTCACCGAGCCATTCAGCTGGAGATAATTCTTATTACGGAGAGAGGGAAGAAAATAACTCACAATTGGATTACAAATACGCTATCTTGAATGGGTCAAAGAATCCTTTATGTGGAGACTTACACCAGTAAAAAAAAGTCAACCAGTTGCTTTACAGTCTGGTGCAAATCTATCAAGGCTATGAATAGAACCTTGAAGTCAGCGATTACCCAAACCCGTGACATTTCCTTGTTTTTTTGCTTTCCAGTTTCATGTACGGCGAGCTAACAGACAGGAAGACCATTGAGAAGGTCAGACGGACGTTTGAGAACTATGAATCCAATTGCTTTGAGGTTCTTCTCTACAAAAAGAACAGTAAGTAAAACGAATCTAAGCTCAAATTCAAAATCCACTTTATTTCTCTTATTTTAAGCTTGATCAATCTGACACGGTGCCGATTGTTTCACATTTTTCTCTGATCACCTATTCAGAGAATTTAGTGTACTCTCTGAGTTTGATTTTTAAGACAATCTGTTAACATCATGCCTGTATTTATGTTATATGTTCGGAATATACTTTTACCTTCTAGGACACATCCTGGCCAAGGATGATTTAAAATAGTAGTAATAACCCTTGCATTTGATATAGCACCTTTTACGTTGAAAGGATGCCTCAAAACGCTTCACAGGATTCACTGTAGGTGAACCCAGCAGCCAATTTGCACATAGCAATGTCTCACAAACAGCCATGAAGTGAATGATAATTTCTATCTGGGGGATTGTTGGCTAGGACACATTTCCCACATTTAAACTGCCCATTGATAAATTTGGATTTGATCAGATTCCAAAGGTCTAATCCAAATCCATCCAAATAACATAGAGAGTCACTTGGCTCACGATATTCATAGAGTTGTGTGTTCTGATCTACTATTCCACTGCTGAGCCAGTCTGGTTTATTTTATCACTGCATGGGTTCTTTAGCCTATGGCTAATTTGCAAACTTATTTTGCTTTAGTGCACACTTACAAATGCTTTGTTAATGTTAAGTTAAAAGGCTTTTTGCATGAACAGATTGAAGAAAGGGTGGGGTGGGAGGGGAGGAATTAAAAAACAAGTCGAACTGTGTCTCTACATTACTGGCGAAGGTTTGTTTCAAATTAAAACTAGAAAGGAGAAGTGTTTCCCTTCTGAGATCCTATGGAAATTCAGAATAGCTAACTCTGCACACCTGAAACTGTGGTGCAAAAGTATATGGTGCTCAGACTTACAGAAGACCCTTCATAAACAGGTACATTGCCTCTGTAAACGCTCATCTTTTGCATGTGTGCATATATCATGTACCAAATGGTTGTGCAGCTGTCCTGCTTCTGATTGTTCATCTGTATCACTTAAGCTCGTTCTTTCAGTCATTCTGCTCTGCTGTTCCCTTGAACTCCTCCACTTTGCCCCCCTCTCCCCCTTCCTCCCTATCCTCAAATTCACCTCCAGAACTATCTCTTAGACTGCCACCTCCCCCGTTGACAGCCTGGTGTGTGAAGCAATTTGAGCTGTCCTTCCAATGACGAAAGGTGCTAATATAAATACAAGTAGTTGTTGTTCATTCATGCAGCATTGTTACCCGTTCATTTGTGCTGTGTTATGGAAAGAAGATTCATTGAATGTTATCTTGCTCATCCAGAAAGCTTCTTGTGGCTTTTGTTCATCCTTTTAGGGGTTGGGTGTTCTTTTTTTGTTTAAATAATTAAAGCTCTCATGGAATTTAGACAATTAAATTACCTTCTTGTACATCAAGATGCCACATTTTACTGTGCAGATAAAACACATTAATAATGTAAAAAAAAGCAACAGCTTCAACAATCATTTTAATCAGCGTACTGGCTTGAAAAGTTATGCTAAAAATATTTTCCCAATTTATCTCTAAGTTGCTGTAAAGATCAATTTAAATGTCTTTTCCATGACGTTGTCAGCATAAATACTGTTCCCGAATGTGTTTTGTTTTATTATAGTGCCAACATTGCAAAGTACCATCTTTTGGATGAGACATTAAATCTTGGCTCCGTCTGTCTGTTCAGGTGGACGTTAAAAATCCCTTGGTGTTATATGAAAAGAGAAGGGAGTTTCTCTCCTTTGTTTCTTGGCCAATAATCCCTCAAATTAAATTGGTCACTCACTCCATGGCTGTTTCCTTCAGTGGGTCAATGAATAACTGGAGGAATTTAAGGCAAAGTGGATAAGGACTGAGGCAAGAATGTTTTCTCACAGAGAAGGATCAGAATGCCCCCAGAATGTCAGAGATGAGCCATTTATTGAAGCGATTCAAGAAGGAGATTGGTAGGCTTTTGTGAAGTGTAGATATGTGAAGATATGACAAGAAGGCGGGGAAGTGGGAATAATGTTGCCATTAGTAATATGCCCTTTGTGAAGCAGACCATTGGCTTCCTTGTGTTCAGCCTGAAATACTATTGATCTCTCTTGTGGAAGTGCATAGCCTTGAGGTATTGTACTTGGGTGTCAGCCAATCTCCTAGATATTCCACCTAAACAATCTGCGGGAATGTTACCATCTTCAATGTTTTATTTCAGTATTGATGGAAATCGCTAGACCCAGTGCGAGCCCTCTTGACCATTTTAGGGCTGCAAACCAACAAAACTTAGCATTTACTTGCCCACAGGGGACTTTCTGTTGATATGAATACAGGGTTGATAACAAGTAGAGACATGTAAAAGCTACCAACAGGAACCATCCCTAATCCTTTCAACGGGAAAAAAATAAGTAAATCAGAAATGCGAGATTTGATTTACAGAAGTGCACAAAGTAAAACACGAATGGCAGAAAGCTGGAACTAATGATCTGAACCCAGTGTGAAAAAATATCAATATTACTTACTCTAACTCAGGGACAGCGAGAAAAGGGGGAGAGATGGAGTGAAAGAGAGAGAGAGAAAAAATGGATAGATTTCAGATAGTGTACATTAGACCTGGATCTAATACTAACACTATCTATTGGAAAATTTGGAGAAGGAAAATAAATTGAGTTCTTGAATGCACTTTGAAAGTCTTTATAGTTTATTATAAAAATCAACAGTAACTCATTAGTAGAACCATGCCTGGATATATTTTTGTGTGGTTTAGTGTCCATTTTTTCCAAAGTACACTGGTGTGTTTGTCTCTTTGGTGTACACCTCGATATCCAGTTAACTATCTGCAAAACACATGACAAAACAAATCACATTTTCTACCCTCCACAAAATATACAGTCGATTCACTTTACAGTGTATCCCGTGAAGCGCTTTGAGACGTCTCAAAACTGCGATAAGGCGCTATATTAAATGCAAAGATTATTATTATTATTATCATTACTAATGCATGCTGTGAGCCAGTCAGTTTTGATCACTGCTCTTCATGTTGATGAACGGACCACACCCGTAATACATTTGCAGACAAAGTTGTTCAACATGTCTTTCTTTTGTTGGCAGGAACGCCAGTCTGGTTCTACATGCAAATTGCACCTATAAGAAACGAACACGACAAGGTGGTGTTATTTTTATGCACTTTCAAAGACATTACAGTGTTCAAACAGCCCATTGAGGATGAATCAACGAAAGGTAATGTTTCACTCAGTCTCGCTGATGTAATGTATTTCTAACCAGTTTTCAGTTCAAGTACCCTGCCTATAGGATCAACGATGGTTGGTGTACGAGAGCAGCAATGATCTTGTGCAATGGAAGACTGTTGATAGTTGCAAAACACTGCATTAAGGGTTTATGTCTTTCCACATCCAATCAGAGATAATATACATCAAAGACATTCATATTGTTTTACTCAATGAACCACTTAAATCTCATATCCATCCTTAGTGTTAGTTAGCCTGCTTTTGAAGATTTTTTCTCCCTCAGCAGTGGTTGACGCTCATTTGCAGCCTAGCAACCGTTTTACTTTGTTCTATGCTAACGTCACCATCTAAGTGTTGTATAGAATATTTATGGTGCAGTGATTACAATCCCAGGAGTGTTTCCTCAAAGCACTTCCATTGACTGCGACCACAGTTTCATGCCGTGCACTGGCTTGTGTAAGAGCTCAATGTCCTGTAACAGAAGTCAATATTAAATGTGCGGTCAACGTAACAAGTAGATTTCAGTGCGAGGTTTTATTTCTGTCGTCGGAGTAATAATAATAATAATAATCCTTGCATTTGATATAGCGCTTTTCACGTCGGGAGGACGTCCCAAAGCGCTTCACAGAATATACTGTAAAGTGAATTGACTGTATATTTGTGGGCGAACGCGGCAGCCAATTGCGCACAGCAATGTCCCACAAACAGTCGTAGATTGAAAATGACCAATTTATTATTGTTTTTGGTTTTGGAGGGATTATTATTAGGCTCTGTGTGGAGTAAGGAAACTTGCCCAAGGTTTCGCCCTGCCTGGAATTGAACTCAGGTCTCTCGCTTGTAAAGCGAGTGCTCTAACCACTGAGCTACAGGACTCCACGTATTTGAGTATTTGAGTATCTCAAATACGTATCTCCAGTATTTGAGAGGCGAGATTTTGGATGGCCAAAACATTTTTTTTTGCAAAGAGATATTGGTAAGCATCACTACACAGCCACGGTACCTTATGTGACAGTAAGAATGACCTCACAACTGGAAGAGAGTGTATTACAGTTACATATCACTACTTGGTTCAGCAGCAATTCTACTTAAGTGAAAAACCTCAGAGATTCACACTGAGGTGCTGTTAGGATATTTATCTATGAAGCACATTAGCCTGAATAATATGTTGGATCCTTTGCTTTATGCAGGACGTTTGCTTTAGTGAGAGAGCAGAGACAGCCAGACTGGCTAGGATTGAAACCCAGATCATAGCGTTTGATGGATCTTGTCCTACCCTATCACCTGCATCACAGCTTTCTGAATCTGAACAGTATGTTAAGCTGCCTGCTAAAAATAGATTTCCAGGAAAATAATTAAGATTTTTCGATGCCCCTCCATAAATGAAATATCACTCCTTTATGGATTCCCACTTATTTCATCTCCTAAGGCTAAGTTCTGCCGTATTTCTTCCCAACACTCTAAGGACAGACATGTGAAAGTCTGCAATCCGCCGCAATGTTTGGCTGTGATTCTTTGCTTTCCTTAGATCACAAAAGTTTGCTGAGACCCAACGTTGTAGGAACCTTTGTGTTTCCTGAAGTATTTGATCACAAGATCACAAGATTGGTTCGTATGAAGGAGGCCCTTTGGTCCATCTGATTTCATCCCTCCAGAATACCCAACCTTCTGACTTCCCATCACAGTATCAAGCTGTTTTTTTAAATGAGTTCAGTATCCCAGCCTCAACCACTCTTCCTGGCAACCTGTTACAGTTGGTTAATGCAAGGATTATTATTTTGGCCTTTGGCCGTTCTTGTTTTTTTGTGTGCGTTATAGAGCAAAACTATTCTAATATACAACCGAATGCAATATTCTGCACCGAAAAGTAAGAGGAAACTGCGATGCAGTTCTGTGAATGGTCACAAGGAGATGAGCACGAGTAGGCTTGGCTGATTTCTTTTGATGTTGTCTCTCTTTGACCGTGCCTTCAGCTCCCCTCTCGACTCTCTTCCTCCTCCTCGCTCCCTCCCTTCCCTCCCCTCACCCTGACCATTTCCCCCCTCCTCTCTCCCTCCCTTCCCTCCCCTCACCCTGACCATTTCCCCCCTGCTCGGGTCATGACCCAACTGTGCAGCGCCTTGGGACGTCCTCCTGACGTGAAAGGCGCTCTATAAATGGAATCTTGTTGTTGTTGTTGTTGTTGTTGTTGTTGTTGTTGTTGTTGTTGTTGTTGTTGTTGTTGTTGTTGTTGTTGTTGTTGTTGTTGTTGTTGTTGTTGTGTTGTTGTTGTTGTTGTTGTTGTTGTTGTTGTTGTTGTTGTTGTTGTTGTTGTTGTTGTTGTTGTTGTTGTTGTTGTTGTTGTTGTTGTTGTTGTTGTTGTCTCCCTCCTGGTGGGGATGATTTGTGACTCCCCAATGTCTTAGCGGAGACACCAGGAATGTAAGCAGAAGGTCCCTCCATGTGTTAAGCCGACATGTCACCTCCTGCAGAGAGCGAAAGAACACCAGCAGTACAGAAAACCCTCTGTACACATGTCCTAGACACCAAAGCAAGATCCTACATCTCAAAGTATATTTATTAAAGAAGTGTACATTCTGGCAAGATGGAAAACCTGTGACACCAAACGCCTTGCAGAGATATTTGTTTTTGTCATTTAGTGTTGCAACTCTGACCAGAAGACTTCTGAAACCCTATGTTCCCTTCTCTTCTGCCCGATGTATGTGCCAGGTTTTCCCTTAAATAAATTGATGCTTTTCTGCTTCAACCATGGCTTCCAGCAGTGACTTGTGCTATGATGTGCTGTTGAATCTCATTAAAAAAGATTGCCGATTTTAGCGATCCTTGCACATCGTACAAAGCGGCTAAATATAGACCTAAACTATTTGTTCACCTTCCCTCTTGTGAGCTTGAGTCTGTTGTATAGTTGATGATGATAAAGATCCTGAATGATTCAATGAGATCTCCCCTGAGCCTTCCCTTCTCTCATTAGCGAACCATCGCTGTGTCATCTGTAAGTTGGTGCCATAGCGAGAGGTCGCACTTCATCTTGCCTATTAGAGGTATAACAAAGTTTGTCAGCTAATGGAGGCAAGAGGCTGTCTCACTCATTACCTAAGTAAAATTGATCGGATTCTGCTCACGGCTCTATCCACTCTCAGGCAGATGGATGTGTTTTATTGGATAGTCTGCGTCAGAACTGGGAAGAGCTAGTACTTTGATATTGGTAGCTTTTCCGGGCAGTGCAGGTTAGGAGACAGAGTTAGAGGAAATTACCCCCACCAAAAAGAAAAAAATTAAAGAAAGTTTCAAATCTCAGTTGTCACGATTGATCAGGGAGAACATAACAGAGAATCAAACGGTACAAATAAATAATTGACTCACTTCGTAATTTGGGTAGCTCTTTGTAGAAATTTCAATTTTTAAACAGCAACCGTTCCTTCTCCCTTTCCCAAAGTCCTGTCTGTCTCTCTCTATAATGTCTCATTAAAGCTGTAAAGCTTCCAAATATTTATCGAAGTGGAAAAAAAGCTCATTGCAGATGGTTTTGCTGTGCAGGGACGTGATAGTGGTCGGGTTTACAAGCCCCTACACAACTCAATTGCTCTACCTCTCCTTATAAAACTGACGCAGTAGTGGGGATGCAGACTCTTTTAACACGTATTATTTATGCTGGGAAGCTGGACACTAATGGGTAAAATATTAAAAGCAATATTATGAAAGAATGCAGGATAAAACACCAGCAAATTACATTTGTATAGCGTTTTTCGTGTGGCGAGGACGTCTCAAGGTGCTGAACAGTCAGGGATTTGCGCCCATGTTGCGGGCTGGGATCAGGAGAGGGGTGGATGGCAGAGAGAGTGGCGGTAGGAGGCTGACCGAAGGTGCAGTCGCAGAGGAAGGTCTTGAGAGAGGCTTTCAAGGAGGCAAGGGAGGGGACAAGACAAAGGGACTGTGGGATGGAGTTACAAAGCAGCAGCAGAGAAGCGGACAACGCTTATAAATCGGTCTTGATGTACGTCAATCTGAATTGTAACAGATTACATGTTCCCACTTTAAAGGTAAGCAGTGCTTCTGGTGGTATTGTGTTACGGCTGCTTTAGGCTTTGTCATAACTAATGTCACAAAAGTGTGGGTTGCTGGATTCGGTGGTTAACTGTGTCTTTTTTTTTCCTTGTTAAAAAAAAGGATGGACCAAATTTGCACGTCTAACACGAGCTCTGACGAACAGCCGAAGTGCGTTGCAGCAGTTGACTCCAATGAACAAATCCGATGGGGTCCACAAGCACTCTCGACTAGCAGAGGTGATTATTCCATGGAGTCCTGTAGCTCAGTAGTTAGACCACTCATCTCACAAGCGAGAGGACCCGGGTTCAATTCCCCATCAGGGTGAAACCTTAAGCAAGTTTCCTTACTCCACATGCCTCTGTTTACCCAGCAAAAGTAGGAACCCAGTTGTTAGTCGATTGGTGGATCGCTTTCTGGAGGTTAACATGTCAATGACGTTATAAGGTGCTATATCAAATGCAAGGATTATTATTACTATTATTCCACTTTCCACTCAGAAACCCTGGTCAATTTTGTTCTTTCAGGGAACCCAATTAAGACCATTAATCGCCTGCTAAGTCAACAATAATATCAAATAGTAAGTCCATTTTTATTCCTTACTGTCGCACAAAATCCAACTGTTGAACAAGCAACAATATCTGTGACCCTTGGGCTACACTCTTGGGCAACAGTGACTGAAGCTAAGTTGCATGGTGCCAAATAATTGTTCCTTTCCGTCCTCAGTCTCACATGGGCAGTAGTTTTGCTGGGAGAAATTGCCCGATGGTAATAAGAGCGAAAGCTGTTGCCCTTTGAGTGGTGTCAGCACATTAACCTTTTAGCCTCCATGGATAATATCCAGGCAACATCTTTAACATTAAAGGGAGACAGACACTCATAGTGCATTGTCTAATATACAAGGGCTCGGTCTATTTATCGCAGCCAGTTATTCCAGTCCTAGAATTTATTCGGACATTTGGGCACAGCTAGAGACAGGGTGAGGAACCTGTGACAATGGACCGTTAATGTGTCACCCAAGCTTTCACTTTAGATTAAGTGCTAAAATGTAATTTAATAATAATATTAATCCTTGCATTTGGTATAGTGCCTTGTCACATTGTCGAGACATCTCAAAGCCTTTGTAATTCATTGAGAACTTGAGCTGATTTTACGTTTTCACTAACCCGCTATGGTTTCTGTGCTGTAAATGTTCCGTGACTCAGTACAAGTTAAAGGTGAATGTAAAACTTTGAACCAAGGTCTTTCTTTACCTTGCTCCTTATTCTAGGTCCTGCAGTTGGGGTCGGACATCCTCCCTCAATACAAACAGGAAGCTCCAAAGACTCCTCCGCACATTATCCTGCACTACTGTGCGTTCAAAACCACCTGGGATTGGATCATCCTGATTTTAACCTTCTACACGGCCATCATGGTCCCCTACAATGTGTCCTTCAAGACAAAGCAGAACAACATTGCCTGGCTGGTGCTGGACAGCGTAGTGGATGTGATATTCCTAGTGGACATTGTGTTAAACTTCCACACCACTTTTGTGGGGCCTGGTGGGGAGGTAATATCTGATCCTAAACTGATACGAATGAACTACTTGAAGACCTGGTTCGTGATCGATCTGCTCTCCTGCTTACCCTACGACATCATCAATGCCTTCGAAAACGTGGATGAGGTAGGTTGATGATGTTTGCAGTATTAGCTCTCAGTCTGTTCGTCGCCTTTGCCTATCGCATGGAGCGCAAATGTTCTCCTCCCCCCCCACCCCACCCCACACTTCTGCAGAATCAACTATATATTCATGCACTTACTTAATTCAGCCATAATGCATAAGGTATCAATTTGTGTTCCGTCTGCAAAATATACAGTCTTCCCACTTTACAATATATTCTGTGAAGTGCTTTGAGACATTTCAACGATGTGATAGGCGCTATATCAAAGACAAGGATTTTTATTAATATTATTATTATAACTCCCTCCTGAAAGTCTACCTCTTCAACCCCACCTCTGGTCACCTCCCCTTCTCCCTTGCTCGGGGTCTGACTCTGTTATTGTGAAGCTGTCCAAGACATTATCCTGTGCAAAGGGCACTATGTAAAACATAGGTTGTTGCACACATACATCTGAGAATATGAAGCAAAGTGGTAAATTGTGCACATTGTATGTAATTACATGGTAACAACAACAAGAGGATTGTGCCTGGAGTGCGAATGATGAAAATCACATAATTCATATCCTGCTTTTTTTGTTAAAAAAATACAAGAGTGCTGTTGTAATCAGCCAGAAAATCATGGATATTCTTAGCAAGCAAACCGTTCTATTGATGGCCAGCGGGTAGCGACATTATATTACCTTACCGTTTTTATAGACCCTGCTTGATCCATGATTCCACGATTCCACGGCACCATTTTGCCCATAACCTTTCCTATTACTGTTAAAATTCATAGGAATTAGCTCCCATGATCATTATTATCTGAAGCAATGCCAAGTCTATTAGTGCCTTCATCACTGAAAGCTGTGGTACGGGAGTTTAAATGCCAAAGACTCCTCTCCTATGTTCCATTTGTGTATTATATATAAAGAAAGGTACATTTAGCAATGAGCTGTGTGGGGAAGTTACGTACATCCATTGGCCATTGTTTGGGTTAACATGCAGAGAGATTTTTGGGGCTAACTTGTGAGACAGTAACTTGTGCCGTTTACTAAATAATTGTCCATTATCTGGGGGGGAGGAGCGGGATCAATTGACCCATCTCTTTGAGAAGCGTCCCCTCACCCACCGAATACACACAGTCTCATTCCATCTCATGCATGTTTAGTCTCGGAGGAGAACTGAAATACATTAAGACCACAGAAAACTGAGGGCTTGTTTACAAGAGAAGTTCCAAGCCGAAATGAGGAGTAGGCTAGGAAGGAGCTTTCACATAGAGGCGAAACTTCAATCGGAGAATGAAGAAGATCAGACCTGCAAGTAGTAATCTAGCGTTCTTCTTTAATCTGCACACAAGCTTCAAATGGATCAAGTCACCTGAAAAATATGCTGCATCTCTGGCTTCTAACAATCCAACTTCTAAAGAATTTCTCCTGACTTCAATAGACTTCAATGCACGTGCTGTGTGACAGAGAGAGAGAGAGCGTTTATATTTATATCAGGCTTTAAGCGAAATCATTGGCCCATGAGATGGATTCCTGCATCCTTTACAGTTTCTATTCATTCTGCAACTGTTGTTTCCTGAACTGCCTCCTTGCCCAATTGCAGACTACTAGACTCTGGTGGATCTCTGAGCCCTTCTTACACACTTCTCTTAACAGGGCATCTACCTCAGTAACTGGTATTCAACACTCGGTCTAGAAATTGCGTTTAAAATATTTCTCAACTATTTCTCCTAACTACTCTTATAGATTACACTGACAAATTTACGTTCAGTTGCTGAACTTAGCAGTAAAATCCTGTGAAGCCCTTTGATGCGTCTTGAATCGAATGCAATGATTATTTTTATTATTATTATTATGTTCCAAAGTATTTTATGCAGGCCATCTGCTTAGGTTATGGATGAAATAGGTTTCATGGCCCGATCGCTAAAATTGCAGGAATGCAAACACTGCATTAGTCACAGAGAAAAAAAGTTAGGAGATTCCCAATGTTGGTAAAATAGATCCACCTAAAAGTTAACCTAAAGCTAGTGGTTCCTTTGAAGGGCGTTGAACTTCCCTGAAGCAAAATACAAACAAACAAAAGAGACCTTAAACTTAAGCAACGTGAATGCTATCACGATTTTATCTGTTCTCTGATGGATTCTACATTGGTACATGAGGTAAGTTGACCTCAAGCAGTTTGCTCTCAATTGCTATAATCACCGAGCCATAGTAATAGAGATGTTTTAGGAAACGAGACAAGCCAACAGCTTATGATCAGGAAACTTAACACCTCAGAACGTCACCAAAGATCAGACCATTTTTTAACCTTCTGATTTTGTTGTTGTTGTTCTAAGAACAGGCTGATAAGGTGTGATTATAAATCATTAGTGGAGACAAACACAGGGATTATTATTGATCCTTTGCCAGAGCAATAGGGGTAACATTTGAGGTGTTCCTAAAGCTGTTCCTCGTGATAAGGCGCTATACCAAATGCAAAGGTTAATAATAATAAATAAGTTAAGGAACGTTTTAAGGAACACTACAATTTGACTCCATAGTGGGAGTAAACAAAACAAAACAAAGAACGAGAAAAGAGATAAGAAGGAGAGAAAATTGCAAACAAGACGTCTAGAGCCATTGGGGGTCAGACATGCGCTGAACACGAAAAATAGTGATCAGTTGGTTATATTTTTATAATGGAATATCTACACAGGATACCTGCCAGTGAGATAGATCCAAAAGTTATCAGCAATTGAAAGGTGAGTATGATTTCTGCTTTCTCTCTTTTGAGATGTGGAGACCATCTTCACAAAATTGCATACTTCACACAAATTCTGGTTGATAAGGATCAGCCGGACCTTTTGTATGTTTTCAGGCTGCAAAATTGTGCGACGCTGCAGCTTCGAGTAAAGTGACCTTTATCATATATTTAATCTGAGTGATTGGCTTTGAGAACCAATTCTATTGCACTGGGGATGAAGAGGAAAGGAGAGTTAAGAGAGGTAATAATACACTGGAGAGCATGACGAGAATATTTTACAATTGATGAACAGTGTAATGCTTTTGCAGGTGCACAACTCACAGTGAATAGTATTGGCAGGAATGATGTGATTGAATTACAGAAGCAGCGAAAGGTTAGTACACAGATGAGAGCCCTCGGCAGCCCACTGACACAAATGATAAGGCTCAAACACTGTCATGGCGGCACTACCCAGCCATTAGCAAAGTGAGCAGAACCATTCGAAAATTCAAGGGCCACTCTACCATAGTTAAGAATCCTCTGTACCGTTCTCCCGAGGCAGGAGCAAGACTGGTGATCTTCAGTAATGCCCCGTTGATGTCCAGTGGTTAGCATCAGTTCAGTATGAGGGTCAACGGAATTTGATCATATTACTCAAATTGTCACTTTTAAAAGTTTTCACCCACAAATATTCAGTCAATTCACTTTACAGTCTATTCTGTGAAGCGCTTTGAGACACCTAGAAGACGTGAAAAGCGCTATATCAAATGCAAGGATTATTATTATATTATGAAAGATATCAAGAATTTTTAAAACAAAAACCTCGATTGTTGGATTTGCTCCGATTTCTACGATGTACAAGAGTACATCGGAACACATTGAGGAGAACACAACATCTTTCTGATGAAACTGCAGAGTTATTCGGGATATCGTCACGGCTTTTATAGCTTGTGTCTAAAACAGAGAAGATTAGCCGTCTTGGCAACCAAACCCACCCATAACTGATGGTTCGACATGTTGCTATGGCAGCTAGATATTCAAGAACAGCGTGTCAGTTTAGCCCAGTTGGTAGCGTTCTCGCCTCTGAGTTAAAAGGTAGTTGGTTGAAGACCCGGCAAGTCTGGACTTTGAACTCATTTGGTCGAGAGTGACATTCCAATACAATACTTGGGCTGTGCTGCATTGTTGAGGTGCCGTCTATCGGATGAGACCTTAAACTGTCTGTTCACGTGGATGTTAACGTTGCCATGGCCTCACTTCGAGAAGAGAAGGGAGTTCCTCCTGATGTCCTGCCCAACAATCCCTCAAACATAAATGGTCATTCGCTGTGCACGAATTGGCAGCCACATAAATCCTGTGAAGTTCTCCGAGACATCCTCTTGATGTGAGAGTCGCTAAATCGAACGCCAGGATTAAAAAATAAGATTCTTGATGAAACTGGTAGATGGAACGAACGCATAGCTCGTTGCAATGTACATCCGTTCTCATGGTAAATGGTCACGTTAGCGACACAAATACTGTCACCGGTTTTAAAGCTGTGCAGTGCAAGAAAAGTTTAAAAATAGCTGAGTTTGATTTGGTTCTCTTGTGATTTTTCTCAGGCAAAAAAAAATTTCTGACAGCTATAAATTATGAATATAATTTCTTGCCTGCAGTGTATGAAAGTGGTGTGCAGAATCATCTACTGTAGCAATAAGGGAACACATTTAACAGCTGCCTGGCGATTATACATGTTTTAAAATCATATAACACGCAGACGTATTCAATCTGAATCTTCCTTTCTGCCATTTGTTATTTACTTGCAAATTCAATTGACCAGCCCGTGAGAAAAAGACGTAACGTTTGGTCACATAGGCATGATTTCAACCTCTTTTGAAGCTTCGAAGCACATGATTATTAAACCAGTCTCTGCTTTTTTTCTTTAACAATTTTGTTCCTAAAGCACTACAAACTGCACAACCTGGATTGGTCGTTCAACAGCACAATCTGGTCACCTTTTTTGACCATTACAGCATACTGTAGAAATCCTGCAAAATTCATACCTCATGACAGCCTGGCTCAGTAATATTAATACTAAACAAATACAATAATAATCCTATAATTTGATATTGATCGCTGCCTTTGTGGTCGTTTGTGAGGCCTTGTTGTTAGCAAATTGGCTGCTGTGTTGAAATACACAGTCACTACACTTTGTAGTACTGTAAATCCAGGGAAGGGCTTTAAGACGTTTCGAGGGTGTAATAAAGTGCTATATGAAATGCAAGTAGTATTATTGTGTCTACTGCTTACTTAACGCC